ACATTCTTTTGAATTCTTTTGAACTCATATTTACGTACATCTGTTGGCAAACCCTTATCTCTWATATTGCCATAGTCTTCAGCATTATAGAATTTCTGTTATGGGTTTTAGTTTTGGTGTACCACCCCTGATTTTTCAATGACCCCACTTTATAAAAAAAACGTTTTTCAGGCAATACTGGTCCATCCTGCAGTTTCAATGGCTTCAGATAACTCGTAGATATTTTTCTCTGTGTGGAAATAGCTTCTCAGTTCATTTAAGCTGCCATTAAAATCTCTTAGAATAAAACGTAAACCATCAKTGCTCTTCAAAAACCCTAATTACTCATTTGAGCTTAATCTGATTTTTTCTTTCTTTTAAAGGTAGCAATTTTATCTTGTTAGTAGATGCTTCTTCTAAGAAGTGTTTGCATGGATTCTTCATCCTGAAGTGGACGAGGAGGATTTGGTTTGGGCTGTTTGCTCTCCTCGACTTGTTTAGTTTTGCATTTGCTTACTTTTCATTCAGCCTCGAGACGGCTGATGGGTTTTCTGCTGCCGAAAGCACATTCCCAACAGCCGTTTGTGGAATTGCTTTTGCTGATCAAAGTTTTTTTTTTTCAACATCCTTTTGAGTGCATCAGCCTTCATCTGTACCTGCAATGACTCAGAGGTACGTTGGGTAAAAACATAAACAGGAACATTAAAATCTGATATTAACCGATGGAAGTGAAATAAACGTTCCACAATAATTGAAACAAGTWGCCCTTTTTTTACACCAGAAAGTTGTTTTTGTTCTCCTTATGAATAAAAATGACTTCATTTATGAGTTTTGGGTTATTCACAGACTGAGCAGCACTTTGTAAATACATTCCAGAGTGATAAAAGTCAAGAACCGTGACAGATTAGTTGATTGAGCCATAAATTTAATTTAGCCCTTCAGCGCAGAAACACACAGATCACACAGCCTATTTTTTTCCCACAAATTACTCATTTATTGTGACAAAAGTTTTTAAATCATCAACTTCTATTAAATGTTGTCACATTTTTAATCAAACAAAGTCAGCTTTGTTTTGTTTGGGTTGGTTAGTTTTGTCTTACCAGAGAGTTTGGTGTGGCTCAAGTGATTTTTCAAACTATTTAGTGCGCTGTGATGCGTGTTAAAAGAGCCTCACCAAGTGGCTGCAGWCAGAAGTGCAGTCTGTTTTAGTCTGCTGTTTAGGATGTTCATAAATAGATCAGCCACATTTAAAAACACATAATTATCTCAGAATACATACAGTGCAAAAAAAAAAACAATTATAGCAGCCTGGCCAAAGGAAGAAGACTGATACTGAGTCAAGTTTTTCACAGCGCACCAAGATCTTTTTTCATTACTTCACACGCTGCTCGGCCTCCTGTGTAASGCCCTTCATCTCCAGCACCCTGAAATTGTACCCCACACGAGTCAAACTCGAGGCCCGGGGGCCAAATGTGGCCTGCTGCAGCATTTTATGTGGCCTTAAAAGATGTRTTATTGTCTCAAAATAAGTTGCTTTAAAGCCAGCATTGACCATAAACTACATCTCCCAWAATGCATGCAAATTATTTTACCCGCAAAATGAYGGCATCCCACCACCAGGTGGAGGCGGTGTTTAAAAGTAGCTGGCAGCAGGTGAAATTCACTGTGTAAATTCTCCATTTCACTGCATTTTTCTACTTTTGCGGCATCCCAGTTGTACAGGAAAGTGGGAATTTCCCACTTAAAGRTCATCAGCTGAAACTGGAACACCCCTCCCAGTAGGAATTTCSTGTCGGAAAGTGGGAGAGTTCCGAATTCAAGATGGCGGCTTCTCACCACAACTCCCCAGTGAGTAAACTTCTATTTTTAATAGTATTTCTGTATTATTTATTTCACATTTAGTTAGTTGTACAAGGAAGAGGACATGTGAAAACACTGTTTCTATGCAGGAAATACCACGTAGAGCTCAGTTATTGTTTGTTAGCAGTGCTCAGAGCCAAGGAACRTGACGTTTTATTTTAGTTAAACACAAAACATCAAAGTTAATTACAACTATGCTCGTGGTCCTCGGTGAAAATGAGTTGGACGGTGTACAGGAACGTGTTGGGGTTTCTGTAGTTGGAGCAGGAGACCGCACTAAAGGGGGTGGAGAATGGTTCAGACATTGTGGGGCTTCCACATTGAGACTGACCAACAGGTGAAAGCCCACCAACTGGAAAGTGGTGGTCAAAAAACTCTCAAACTGGAAAACTGGCTCCAGAAAATCTCAGGAACAACCTCAGCTTTTGTATGATCAAACATTAAGCTGCATTTTTATCAGCTAAATATGCTCACTAGATGGCAGCATTTTCTATCTGATGCTTGAGATTTTCAGTCTCATCAGACCAAAAATCATGCTCACCACCCCACCACTAATATATAAATATAGTACGTCTGGTAAAATAATAACCACAGAAATAAAAGTGACACCCCAAGAAATAAAAACAGCATGCTAATTGATTTTATATTCCTGTGAGCTTTGTTTGCTAGAGTGAATTCTGCTGCAGTAGACCAACCGTGTGACATTTTCCAAATTGACTTTATTATTATTTGTGTTTTATTTTTTATATATAACAGTCTGTGTTTGAGGTGGTTTAATTAGACCTGAAGCTCGTCAAAACGGAGAATGTGTCTTTCCCTGTAGAGATATTCTCTGATCACCTCCATCTGACAGTTGTTTTAACTCAAGCTTATCAGCTGCGTATGGTTTTTTTTTCTTTTTTTTTTCCCTCCGCAGCTGTCAGACACATTTTTTTTCATGCTTCAAGTTTTACAATACAGGCGTAAAAAAATGCACTGCAGTATATATCAGTGTTTCCCAAAGTTGGGGTCGGGACCCAAAGTGGGGTCCTGAAACATCAAGGTGAGGTCCTGAAAAGATTTTCT